GCACGACCGCTGATTACTGGGCCTTGCAAAGGATGGATCAATGCTTCGAGAAGCAAACAAATTTACTAGGAAAGAAAGTTGCATCAATTTTTATTTTTTCCAATTTCAATTTTTTATTTTTTATAATTTTTTGTATTTCACATGGCACGCTTTGATTTAGAAGAAAAAATTCAGAACAGTTTTTGACACTTTCGATACCATAAGCAACAACAAAATACACGCAAATGTTGTTTTTGCTCTACTGATACTACCTGTTTAATGTGCCTTGGCCAATACTTTGTTCTGACAGTGTATATAAAAATTTGTTACTTTCTTTTTGTCAAACACAAAACAAAATGGAATTCATATGCATATTTGTTATTATTAACCATCTTTTGACTTAGTTCATGTATAGTAATCCTTGAATGCGAAATATATATGTACATAATTAAACTTCAATTTGGCGCACTGCTGTTCTACTTATTGGACTTAATATTTTCAAGTATATCTTAACAGGTAACATCGCTCATGGTACTGCATAAGGATTAGGGCGTCTTCTCTTGGCATTTGAATAATTAGTTTCGCTTGATTTAAAGTGCAGGGAGCAGACCTTGTATGATGCAGTCAGTTGAACACCACACGCATTCATCCATTCCCTTTTCTGTCACATCTATCGGCACACAAAACATACCTACCTCATGATTGTAAGTAGTTTTGCATAAACGACCGCTAGGCTCGCCCACATGATGTTGACGAGGTGTGGCAGTAGGAACTCCTTACAGTGTTGCCGCGAAACATTTTTAGTGGTAGCTAAATTCCAGCTAAAAAAAGGGCTAAAAAAGAGCTAAAAATCGTCGTTGTGGCTAAAAATGGTAGCTAAATTTTTTTACCTACATCTTATATATAAAAATAAGTGCACGTTTTTGGTGTGACAATATAACTTAAGAACGGCTTCACCGAATTCAACCAAATTTATGCGGCATATTCGGGCCATCATGCAGATATTTTATGTGGAGTTTGCCCAAATTTGGAAAAGGGGCGTGGCATATGTATGTATCTTATGTATACAAATAAGTACACGTTTTTGGTGTGAGCTTATAACTTGAGAACGGCTTCACCGAGTTCAACCAAATTTATACGGCATATTCAGGCTATCATGCAGATAGTTTATGTGAAGTTTGCCCGAATTCGTAAAAGGGGGTGTGGCACCTTCCATACTAACTAAAATTTTTTTGTTGTATATCTCTTGAAATATTTGAGGTAGAGTACTGGAAGTTGGTATAGAGGTATAAAAAATAATTCCATACTCATGGATAAAAATGGGCAGTATTGGAAAAGAGGGCGTGGCACCTCACATCTTATATATAAAGAATAAGTGCAAGATTTCAACCAAATTTATACGGCATAGTCGGGCTATTATGCAGATGGTTTGTGTTAAGTTTCCCCGAATTCGGAAAAGGGGACGTGGTACCACCCATACTAACAAAAATTTTCATCTGGTATATCTCTTGAAATATTTGTGGTAGATTACTGGAATTGGTAGCTATACGTGGCCTGTTCAAGAGTTGGCATTCCAAATTGTTTATTTATTCATATCCAAGATGGAAAAACAAAAAATGTTGTATATCCAAATGTGTTGGATTAAGATTTAAAATAAAGAATCAAAAATTTTGAAATAAAACAAATGATAAATTTTCATATAGAAAAATTCCAGGACTTTTCATTCGTTTTTCAATATTTGGTGTAGAGAAGCATACCGGGGTACTGCTAGTATAAATATGTAAGTATACACGCAAACATTTTCTATAATTACTGGTATAGAAAAACAATGAACTCTGAAAAGAATTACTATTTTATTCAACAAAAAAACTTTTTGTGTAACACATAAAGCATATTAAGGGCCACCAACTTACCTATTTTGAAGTATAGTTAAATCGTTAACGGATAAGATAACGCTGAAGGAATACTCTCGAAAGGATTTAACGGAAAAAGCTTGGTCAGTGATTGCTGAAGTGATGAAATGGTCAGGTATGTACATATGCATAGAAAAGTGGTTGAAATATACAATATTTATCGGCGCTTACATTTAAGCACTGAAACAAAAGAAAAATATGTTTACCATTTGAACTTCTAATTTGATCCACAAACCACGACGAGACTATAAACAATTTTATTTTAATTTATTTTTAGGGGCAGAATGTAAGGAGAAATGGAAGAATATACGGAATGGATTTGTCCGAAGTTTAAAACCGTCTCCCAGTGGTTTTTCGGCAAAAGCTAAGAAGCCCTACTATTTGCACGACATATTGGAGTTTGTTTTGCCGTATGTTCGACCAGTCCAGCATTTGGAACACACCGCAAACTTCGAAATAAAGGAATCTGATGTGCACCACTACGAGGAAGTAGAAACAACTGAAGATGTTGACCACGACGATATTAATGTAGTGGCTGAAAAACGAAATCATGCCCTTGCCACTTCTTTATGCGTGGAAAACAACAAAAAAAAGGAAGAGACTTGGAGAAGCAAAGGATGATGTTGACATGGCAGTTATGAATTATTTAAAGGAAAAAACAGAAAATAAAGCAGATCCCCGTAAGATGTTTTTGTTTAGCTTACAGGAGGACATTTCGAATCTTTCCGATGTACGATTCAGGCAGTTCAAAATACGGACTTTACTCTTGCTAGAGGAATTGTTAAGTGAACAAGACCAAGAGACTGGAAACCAGCAGTTTATTCAAACGCCTGTATCGAACCACTCAAGCTTTCAAGTCAACACGCCGGCTGCTTCGCCGATTGATCCACCAACTGTTTTTTTACAAGTGACAAGTGACAGTGCCAACAGTGACTCAGACGCGTTCAGCCAACAATTTTTTATCAACAATGAATAATTTTGAACACGCACTTTTGTGTTATATGTTATGTGTTATGTTTATGTGTTATGTGTTATATGTAAATACACTGCCGGAACAAAGTATTGACACAGCGAAATTTTTCGCAATATATACAACAATTTTCATTGTAATACTTTTCCGCTAATTTTGTATAAAAATATGGTTCATTCTCCGACAAAAAATCTCAAAATATAATTCCTAAACTTTGTGCAAAACGGCGGAAAATTCAGCAATTTTTCATCAAAATTTTCAACTTTTTAATCAATTTTTTTGAATTTTTTTGAGTATGCAGATTTGTAGCCCAATCAATTTTATTATGATAAAGTGCAAGTTTTAAGTAGCTAAGAATTACCGTTGATTTTTGGCAAATTTTTTTCGACAATACTTTATATGGAAAAAATGCCAAACACCTTCAACAAAAAATATTCTCAAAAATCAATGCGATTTTTGACTAACTCTGAACTTGCATTTTTTTTACTAGAATTTAATGGGCTGCACTCAAAAAATTATAAAAAATCTGATTGAAAAGTTGAAAATTTTGATGAATATTTGCTGAATTTTCGCGAGTTTTGCACAAAGTTTAGGAATTTTATTTTGATATTTTTTGTCGTAGAATGAACCATATTTTTATACAAAATTAGCGAAAAAATATTAGAATGAAAATTGTTGTATATATTGCGAAAAGATTGCTGTGCCAATACCAAGGTACATTGAACAGGTAGTATCAGTAGAGCAGCTGATTTATTTTCAAATTATTTGGTCTCGAAAATGTCAAATATTTTTAATTTTTTCTCACAAAAATTCTGAATTGTTAAAATCCATTTGCATGTGAAACCTTTTCCCATACAAAACAAGCGATTGAGTAGCAGCTTTTGGAACGTTCGCCCAACTCGGCAGCACGACCGCTGATTACTGGGCCTTGCAAAGGATGGATCAATGCTTCGAGAAGCAAACAAATTTACTAGGAAAGAAAGTTGCATCAATTTTTATTTTTTCCAATTTCAATTTTTTATTTTTTATAATTTTTTGTATTTCACATGGCACGCTTTGATTTAGAAGAAAAAATTCAGAACAGTTTTTGACACTTTCGATACCATAAGCAACAACAAAATACACGCAAATGTTGTTTTTGCTCTACTGATACTACCTGTTTAATGTGCCTTGGCCAATACTTTGTTCTGACAGTGTATATAAAAATTTGTTACTTTCTTTTTGTCAAACACAAAACAAAATGGAATTCATATGCATATTTGTTATTATTAACCATCTTTTGACTTAGTTCATGTATAGTAATCCTTGAATGCGAAATATATATGTACATAATTAAACTTCAATTTGGCGCACTGCTGTTCTACTTATTGGACTTAATATTTTCAAGTATATCTTAACAGGTAACATCGCTCATGGTACTGCATAAGGATTAGGGCGTCTTCTCTTGGCATTTGAATAATTAGTTTCGCTTGATTTAAAGTGCAGGGAGCAGACCTTGTATGATGCAGTCAGTTGAACACCACACGCATTCATCCATTCCCTTTTCTGTCACATCTATCGGCACACAAAACATACCTACCTCATGATTGTAAGTAGTTTTGCATAAACGACCGCTAGGCTCGCCCACATGATGTTGACGAGGTGTGGCAGTAGGAACTCCTTACAGTGTTGCCGCGAAACATTTTTAGTGGTAGCTAAATTCCAGCTAAAAAAAGGGCTAAAAAAGAGCTAAAAATCGTCGTTGTGGCTAAAAATGGTAGCTAAATTTTTTTACCTACATCTTATATATA